TTTTATTCAATCAAGCCCTGGTCAGTTACTTACCGTTGAATCATGGATACGATATGTATGCGTCGATTCAATAATTCACCGACAAAATAAATTGGTAACCTTTTTTTTTTTATTTTAATGAAAAATAAGATTACACTCAAGTCAAACTCAATCGACCTGTTTTTTTAAAAAAAATTAAATCACTTTGTATGATAAATCCAATCAATTCAAAATAAGTTATATCCAATCAAGCTTTAGTCAGTTACTTACCGTTGAATCATGGAAACGCATATGTATGCGTTGATTCAATAATTCAACAACAAAATAAATTGGTAATTGTTGTGTAGTCTCTGTAGGATCGAACATTTAGTCCCTAGCTAAACAGAATTGGAGCTATAAACGAGTCGAGCCCTTAACGAGCTGAAAATCAAGTTCGAGTCCGATTCATTCATCAATATTAACAAGTTGAGTTCGAGCCTAACGAGTCGTTCTCGAGCTGTGAGCCTGTGGCGAGCCAAACCATAAAAAAAATATCTTTTCAAGTCTTATAGAGCTGAACTCACGAGCAAATCGTTTCGTTTCCCATCATTAAAATGCCACTATATTAAACTCCGGTCCCTCTTGTCAGCCGGAAGCACAGTACAACCACTTCTCCTCTCTCTAAATATTCTCTCTCTCACACACACACATAACTCGCTATTCTCTCTCTTCATTCTGTGGACGCCGCAAAACCTGAGCAACACACAGCCAGCTCTCAAAGAACAAATTAAAGCAGAAGGAAAAAAATAAAAATAAAAGGAAAAATGGCCTTGAAGCTGAATGCCATCAACTTTGAATCCCCAAAATGCCCGTCGTTTTCTCTTCCTCCGATGGCCGCCCACCGGTCGCCGAGATTTTTGATGGCCTCCACCCTCCGCTCGGGCTCAAAGTAAGCTTGTTTTATTATTACTATTTTCCTTCTAGGTTTTAATTTTATTTAATTTTTGCGCTGTGTTTTGGCCGGTGAATGGTATTGTATATGAATTTTCATTTTTCTGTAAGGCCATGGAAGGAATTTCTTCATACTGATTTTCTGATCTGGGTTGCTGTTGTTATTGAATATTTTCTGGGTTTCCATTAGATGCTTGTAATTCTTGGAATAACGTGGCTATTTTTCATTTTTATTTCTTTTTTTTCGTGTGTGTTTCTATTGATTTCTCGAAGGGCCAAGGGGGCTTTGATTGAGACGCATAACCCTCTGCACTACATTTTCATCAGACAATATAAATGCTCTGTGTTTTTTCTTGATGTTATCGTAGTTCATTTAATTCAGAAACGATTTTATGTGAGCTGGGATTTGTTCCTTTTAATTGCATTTGAACACACGAAGCACCGACCCAAAAAAGATTCAATGTGATGAAATTATTCTCATCACCGGTGATTAGCCGACCATTTGTGATAACTGAAACTATTCTGATAACATGTGATTGCTAAATACTAACCATTTATGAGAATTGCTTGATGTGGTTGACATTTGTGTTTAACTTTTGGTCTCTGCTGGACTGTTGTCTTCAGTTTTAGTTCACTGTCTAACCTCAACTCTTGTAATTATGGGCATTAATGAACTTTTGGCCTCCTGAATATAATGGGATCTTTGTAAAGTTGATCGTTTAAGACCAATTTACTGGGCAACGCACACATAAAATACAAGTTAATAGTGTATTATTGTATGTGTGTTCTCTTGTATGTTATGTCATTGTTATTCTCCTGGCTTGCAACTACAGAGCTTCTTGTGTTTGTTATGCATAAAATCCTTATTGTCATTTAAGTGAGATTGTTCAATCATCTTGTATATTCTACTTTTAACATTATTTTCCGTAGCCCAATTGTATCTATTTTTTTTTGTCCATATTCGAAACTTCATTACTACTCCAGTGTGGAAGTCTCTCTCTCTCTCTCTCTCTCTCTCTCTCTCTCTCTCTCGGACACACACTTATCATTGCCTCTCTGACTCTTTCCTCATATATAGTTGGAAGTCTCTTTACTTCACACGACCTTTTATTTTGGATTTTCATTCCATGTCTTTCTGGTCTAGCAGCTTCG